AAAGTTATTCGCTCAGGAAACAACATCTCTACAATGTAACTAACTATATTGTTGTTGTAGTACAATAGAACGTAGACAATGAACAGTAATTTCGTACAACAGCACAGCATCAATGATAATTTTTCACTTTGTCCTATTAACTCCGCGGACAACGGAGGTCCGCTAGTCTCTGTCAGTAGTTTTCTATTTGTATCGAGCATTTTCCCTGAACGGTCGGCGAAGTCGATTTGGCCTATTGACGGAATGGAAGGGTAGGCTAGTGGTTATATCCGTTTTGAAGGGAGAAAAACATTTAGCCGAGTAGTGCCGAAGTGGCCGTTGCGAAAACGCTGCGAATGATTGCTTTTTTTCTCATACCTATGCAAATATACAAGCTTTCATATGTTGGCAATACAGTTGTTACCACATTAATGCCAGCTACGCTGTATATTATTATAAACGACGATATATATTGTTGAGCTCTAGCCTAAAGGTAAAGATATTATTAAGGTAAAGAGATATATATAAGTGCGTATTTACTTGGACGGAGTACCGGATTCAGCTTTGCTGAAACAGTGCAGGCCCGCAAGGCTAGTTATGTTATGATTAGTTAATGGTTTAATTTTCGATTACCTACCTTTTACGCAATCGATGCTACAGTATACGTCGTTTATGTAGCCTTCGGCTATATATACTCTGTGTTTGTGTTCGATGATCGGTAAACAAAATCCTTCACATTATAGCCCTGATATTTCTGTGTAGCGTTTGCACATGTCTCTGGGATATTTTCGCGGTTACGTCCCGATTTATGAATTCGTTAGCGCTAGATTTGAAAACGATATAGCCTCGAGACAATGTCCCAAAAAAGTTCGATGGGGATGTGTGTGTGTGTGTGTGTGTGACATTGTCCGCTTGTTGGGCTTTGATGTCTTCATTTTACTTTCGTCTGCATTTACTCTTATGTTATATGTATTTGAAAAGGAAAAGAGTACGATTTCTAAATTCATCATCAAGGATTCTCCATTTAAAGTTGAAAAAGGTCTTTTCGATTTGACATGACTGTTATTATACCGATATGCAGGATTCATTGCAACATTCTCGCTGTGATTTGTAGTAGTGAGCTGTACAGCGTTTACAAACACGACAACCAGAGTGTTAGCTTAAGCGATAACGACTTCGAACTACTGGTTCTCAACAACATGGCCGCGACAGTAAAATGCCCACAATGTTTTAATTTACGGCGTTTTTATTCAAGGATTTTGTTAAACACTTCAACGACAAGTTCACGAAAAACCTATGCTATGCCGTACCTCTCCTTGAAATATAGTAACACTAGTACGATCTACAATAAAAACCATATGCTCATTCTGCGACATTCAACGTTTAGGTGGGCCTTCAAGTCATCCTAACGCAAACCTTAGATCCAACGTATATTCTAAACGGTTTACGTTAAACATTTGACACTTAACAAATAAGACTTTGACCAATGGCAGGAGACATTAGCCAAGTTGTCTATACTAATAATCGATGTGGTCAGTGGTCTGCTTCTGTCAAGCGTGGTTTAAGGCACCCTTCAATAGTCCGAAGGATGACCGAGCGAATAAGAAGAAAAAGGCCCATGGCCGCCCAAAGTTCGATGTGCCGTCTTCTGTATTCCAAATCGGTCACGAGGCACGCTACTGCATCTGCAGTGCCAAATGTATATATATGTTTTTTTCTAAAAGAAAGTTAGTGTTGAGAGTGATTACTGTCAAACTCTCCGCATCTTTACGACAGACGTAGTCTAATTCGGATTCTCAGATTTATTTCGTAGATCAGTGGTTAGAAAGGCAGGCAGGCAGGCAAGGCAGGCAATTATCTGTTGCATATAGTGAAACATCATCTGACTTACAAATAGACAACTTATTTTTCTACTACGGTTTTTCAGTACAACATTTTAGAAACAGACCGAGCTTGATGGAAGTGAAAGTATATTATTTATTACTATATTTTTAATATTATGTTCCCCACAAAGGGGTGGAGCTATGTAGTCTCCTGCATTTTGGGCATATGTAATCATACTACTGTCCGTTGCTAATTTAAATTTGGACTGGAAAATTGGAAATAAATATTTTGCCCCTGGCCGTATGTAGGAAAAATGTTCGGAGACTTCATTTGTTTCGAAGGGTGGCTATTAGTGATTAAAGCGCATGGGCAATATCTGTTAAATCCGATTTTGCTTTTCATTTACTATAAGATTCAATGAAACGAAGAAGTCAGCTTTATATATACGCTTAAATATATACAAGTATTATTTTTGGGGGCCCGAGATCTTTTCCACTTAGCGATGCCTCATACAGTTAATATAACAGCGTAAGCTGTTGGCCTGCGTGAAGTTCAGCAAGTTATTAGACGCCTAGTTTGGAAACGTAGCCAGACGACCTCGAACGTTACTTCCAGTTGCAGATATAAGTAACATTCATTGCAGTTCGTGGGCATCACGGATACTTGTCGTCAAATAGATAATAGTTTCATTGTGCCAGCTTGGTGGACAGTGATTCTTTGCTTAGCTTCAAATGAGTCACTAGCAATAGCCCATTATGAGCTTCGTAGTTATTCTCAGCTAACTTTAATATAAGTGATATAGAATTAAACTCTTTGGTCTAATAAGAAACTAATAATAACATTATCAACAGTACTGACAATGCGTGAATCAGAATTACCCTTTTCGGAACGGTGCCGTACTTAATTTTGTTCCGTCTGTACCTATCGATTCCATCAGTTTTAATTCATCATCATGGCACACACTGTTGGCCTTCAAAATTCGTTGAAAAGGTAAATAAAATGTATATATGTGTCGAGCTAAGAGAGCTCGACAAATCGTCTGAATAGGTTAAATCTAACTTTGAAAATAAATTCGTGTAATTGGTTCAGCGGAGACGCACGGACACGTTTTCACCACCATTTCAGCGTGACACCAGGCAAATCTGTCAAAAGGTCACCGCGTTAGCATCTAATTCGAAAACCATTTAAATGATTTTCTAGACTGATGTAAGATCGAATGGCGTTACAAAGGCATATGTTTCAATGTGATTTTCGGGTATATGAAAGGTGTATTCAGGTCTGTACGAACTACCAGACGCGTCCGGCTTTTGGACCATCTTATGGTAATGGGGTAATAGTATGAACTCTGTTGCCGCCCCGAGTGCCGCCCAGAGGCCATTTTGAAATGAATATTTATCGAATAGTAAATTCCTTTGTTATTGGCATCGTAGCTGCGCTACGATAAAGGGGTTAGATAGAAATCCGTTGGTGTATTCGAAAGCTAAGTCCAGCATTTTTCTCCTTAGGAGGCACCCTAGGCACTGTTTGTTATTCAAATTATGAAGCTCATGCCTGTTACTTGCGAAGAAGTATCGTTGCAGTGCTAAAAACGTCGCGTGATTACGCCACACGTGAGCGTCTTTTCATTGGGTTATTGTTTTCCGCGGGTCGGGGCGCAGACACAATGGGTGTCTGCGAATGCACCTTTTTTTAGAGTCTCTCACCCTTCGTAGAGAGCGCCTCGTTTACAAAAAACAGCCTTCTCCACGCGTACTACCTAATGTGTACGCCATTTCATGAATCTGATGGATTGGTTTCCCTTACATCTTACTGTATCTAAAGGACATGCCATTACGAGAAACATACACCCATTAACCAAAATGAAGTCTATGAATGCAGATTTATGTCACTTATCGTTAGAACAGAATCGACCATTAGGTGCTGGTGCGTAAATTCTGAGTGTCTTAGAATTTAGAACCGTGCTTAGGAATAATACCTAGCGTAAAGAGAGGCTGCCGCCCATCCTATATTGCTTTCTCGTTTCAGATTGACTCTGCCAAAGAGCTTTGATTCAAGAAAAATCGCACCTTCTAAATCTTTTTTTTTTTTTTTTATTTGGCCTTGTAATAAATCTTCGTTCTTCCGATTAGATGCGGACAGGTTTATTCATAGTCTTGTTCATTTTCTTCACATCATTATGCAGCTTATATAATGAAAATATACATTTACGCAAGGGACAATTGAAATATTAAACAAATTTCTTCAAGATCAAGGACAGCTATAGTCTACGCGGGCTTCAGTGCTCAACACGGCCATGATAACCAAATATTTCAGTTGTTTCGTATTTTTGAGACAACTGATTTCTCGGGCAGAAATGGCGAAGTCGGATGAGGCCTTTATAAAGATCTTACCTAATTCTCGAATATAGCCGAAGGGCTGCCCAGTGTATCATTCCCCCATACGGCTTCCATACTCCAGAAAAAATTCGAACATAAGAAATCAGCCCGTCTGTATCGATGTAACTTTTTCTAACAGCACTTTTGCTGTTGGCTTTATCTCGTTTAAGTATCTACTTTATACGGAGATGTTTTTAAAATGTATTCCATTTATTGTCAAGGTGAATTCTAATATGTTTTTTTATCTCCTCTGTGGATACATATAAGGACAGCAGTGAATTTGAAGAGAAGCTCATAACAGTCTTGAAATGGTTTCGTCGGAAGGCCCGAAATAAACTATTCTTTGTAGAATCTTCACTTCGACAAATCACCCAGTTACCGACTGAACTAGAAATCTGAATTTGTAAGTATTGATCTTCGAATCTAGATCTAAAAACAATTAATCATTGTCTGTGTTAGAAGATGGAATCCTTTCGATCTTCTAGTTAACATAAATCTTCCTAAATGGCTTATATAAGACTCGGTCGTATCTTTTAAGAACCAGATACGAATGAACCAAAGCGTAAACCATTCGCTGTGAGGCGACGAAACAGAACTCTAGCGAAGATTGCGATGGGGATAATGACTAATTTTGTCTCTCAAGCGATATCCTAAGCACTGACTCAACAACATAATGGGCCGTTTGATTTCATTTATATGTATGTTATTAGCTTACTCTGAAGTAACTGATGGATTTTATGATCAGTATTTCTGTTACCGATCACGAAACCAGCAGCCAAAACGCTTACCTATCTTCAGGTTAATATCGATTCGCTCCTTTCCTTATTATAGCGCATCTAGAAATAAATGCACACTTAACGAACTGTTGTTATGTTAACAAGATGTATTTTTTTTATTCTTGCGCAATCTGCGTTTCCCTATATGCATTTTCGACATCCTCAACCTATTAGGCTTAAAGGTTTGTTCTATTTTTTTTTTTTGGTATCACTCTCTTTATATTCATAAATGACTTCCGTCGTCCTTCGCTCTAGCCAACTCAGCCATTTACAATCGCGCTTCTAATAACACGTTCCTCCTGCTTTTCCCTACCTTATCACTACTTTGTAGACGCTCACGTATGCTACCATCTCCGCTTTGTTTTGTCTCCTCCTATGTTCGATCGCCATTGCGGATCCTACATTATATTTTATGCCCTATTTTAAGTACAGTTCTTACGTATCCCTCCTCATCCGATTCGTTTTCTCTACAGTAACCTATGCCACACTTGTGCCTTATTATCAGTGTATTACTATGATCTATTACATATTAGACCGTCACGCTTTATCTGCGAAGTTCATTTTGTCTTGTATAGCAATATAATCATTATCATTATATTTGTTCGTTGGGTTGATCCTTCATAGATAGAATGCTAACAGAAAACGGTGGGGACATTTAATTTATTACTCTTTCAACGCTGACTTATTTTGTTTTCCGATTTGGTACACTCTGCGATCACCACAACTTAAGTTGGAATAAACATACTTCTTCGGAATAGAGACTGTTTCGATCCTATGCATACTCTAGTATATATATATATATATATATGGATTGATAAAATAAGGTAAAAGTTTGAAACATATCATTTGTTGGTTTTGTTCGGTCCTTGTTTGCCTGAAAACCTGCTTTCCTAGGGGGCCCTCTGGTGGCGTACTTCGGTGATGACTAGTGTGATGATTAATCGAAAGTATAGGCCTCCTGCTTAGTTTTCATATTGAAATGTGCTTTCGTTCATATATTTCTATTCATCCACGCTTGACCCTATACACCTGCTTACGCAAAAAGTGTACCAACAAAAACAGTGCTAGTTAGCGCATATTCAGATGGCCTACGGAAAATATTCATTTCATTTCGATACTTTTTTTTTTTTCATTGTTCAACACTAATTTATACATGAGCATATGTCAATTACAGTCGGTAAGGCACATGTTCGAATGATCAGTTACTCTGTCACCTTTACATAAGTCACCTGAAATCCAGTACGTACTCGTTAGTTTATAATCGTAAGCTTCATTGTGAAGTACTGCCTTTCGTTTTCTTTATTAGTATGTTTTATTCTTTTTGTTGTTAGCACTGAAAGTTCATACAACAGTTTCAACATATGTTTAAAATATTTTTTCATTTTTAATCATAACGAGTTGCCCAAGAATACACGGTATTGTTTCTCAGCTATCTTTTTTGGTTTGTGATCAGCTCAACTGAGTGTTGCCGTTTAGTGAGTTCCACCACATGGTGAAGTCAAGCTGGGTTCAGAACTTATTGGCAATAAAATAAGTACCCAACTAGATTTTTCTCGAGGTTTTATTGCGTCCATTAAAATACGTTAGTGGACATCTAATGCAGTATTGAGCGATGAAACATCAACGCGATTGATTCCCTTATTTGTGTAAACTGTTGAGCTTTTTGACCGCAAAGCTAGAAAGAGTTTGAGAGATCGCATGTAATTATAAGAAAGATTGGTAAATCCGGTTGTTAATATTGAAATTCTACAAACCAGACAAGAGCACTTGATCTAATTCCCGCAATGGCTCGACTTCGCAAAGCTCCAACACACAAAAGCCAGAGGAGTATTGGTGGGCAGCCGTCTGGAATAAGACATCGTTATTACTATATTATGCTACACGTCGTAAAAGTACCATGTAACCACGTTTGGTCATCTATTCTTTTTGTTTAACTTTGCGGTGAAACATCGATGTTTTTCGTAAAAAAAAAATCTAGATTAAACATCCCAGCACGTCGAATTATCTTTTTTCAACAGATAAACCTGTACAAAATGGACTAGTTTGCAGTGAGTTCGGCAATGTGAGCGGCCTATACTGTTCCCACTGTAAAGTATGTATTTTTTGATACATGTCTATTATTGTATTTATCGTCTCACAATCTGGGTAAGCCGAACATACCTGCTACAGCTGATAATCCGCTGAATAGATGAACTTTCGTAGTCGACGAGGTGAGCAGTCTCGAGGGCGGTGGGATATTTTGGATGGTTAAACGTAGGGGATCACCTCGACCCTGTTCGTTAACTGGCGAGATCTCCGCGATGCACTCGGTGCCCTCTGTTGTTTAATAATAAAAGAAAAAATAAAAACTCTGTTGAGCAATACGAATCTAGCCTATAACATCAACATGCGGACTAATCATGAAGAGACATCGTAGTTCACGCTCTGTTGAAACCGTTCGTGCGTAATTCTACGAAGCGTTATCCGATGGCACTGGCCTCCTCGTTAACACGGTCGCGCTTATACCGGGGACAGTTTACCAAGTAATAAGGTCTGGATCAAAGAAGTGAATGACCTTGCTGTCGTAGCTTTTGGCCGTCGTTGGTAGCATGTCCGTGTTCGGTGCACGCTTATACTTGGGCTTCTCCTTCATCCGCATCCTTTGTCTGACCTCTGATCAGATAGTAGGGATGGTGGCGATGGTGTATTCGTCCCAACACCGACTAGTCTAGTCCGTGTAGCGTAACACGCAACTTCTGTGTCTCTTCCGGCTGCCAGAGAAGCGTTTTGTTTGTGCTCGTAGACGTTTGTCTATTCGGATAGAACAAATAACCAGACGGTCATTCATTGCTGCAGAGGTATGGGACTGAGCCCTGGACTTTCGCTGGAACAGGCTGAACAAAAAGGCCTATGAATGTCACTGCTTTTTTTGGGACAACAACTACCCATCCTATGCCGCCTCGCCCCTTTTCGTTCCGCAGTGACTTTATGCAATGATGTCTGGCCATAACCCAATCGGTAAAAATATTTTCTAGTTCTTTCGTATCAGCCTGAACAGGCATTCACAGCCACTGGCTTGCTCTCAGAAACGCTATATGCTATCCTTGTATATCCGTAAATTTCTCATACAATTTTTCAATGCAATTTCATACAATTATTTAATAATTGTACAAGCCGCTGCTTCAGAGGTCTATTCGATGTCCTCTGCCCTCAGGCCCCCTGTAAAGAACTTGTGGGGAGAGCATGGGAGAAACCGACGTCAAACACCCCGCCCTCTTGTCCGAACAAAGGGACAAATGTCTCCGTCCTTCATCAATTCTGGGAGGGAATAGTAAGGTGTCTAAACAATTAGTTATTTTGCTGACCTTCCCTTAAACAAGCGCACCACCAGCTTGATTACCGCCCGCGCACCTCATCAGTACGCCAAGATTTCTGTAACTTCTTAACTTCTTCCTTTGCCATCTAGAGAGTGCTGTTTGGCGTTTGGCTTAGCTCCAGAGAACACTCAGTGCATCATATCGACTTCACTTGCCTAGAACGTGTCCTTGAGTGGGCGGATCGCTGGCTAATTCTTCGCAGGTCGGCTCTGTCCGATTATGCTTTATTTTGCCAATAAAAATGCTGATGGTACAATTATAGTGGCTGTTGTATTTACAAAGGCTACAGCCGAACAAAGTAAAAGACAGTCAATGAAAACTTATAGGTTGCATTTGATTACCAATCGAGGTAAACGGAGGTCATGTTTACTGTCGGTATCTAACCATTCGGGGCTCTTAGAAGTTATATAACGGACAGCGGCTGAGAGTAGCATTACGCTACCAGTGGTAGTGCAACACTGAACGTAACCTATGGCAGAGTTTGAATATTTTAAGCCAATTGTTGAGGCTACGTTATTTCTATAACTTTTCTAATCGTTTCAACGCATAGACTATACAAAAGCCATTTAAAAATGAAAATGTTTTTGATCACAGTGTATGTTTTCGTGCAAGATATAAAATGATTACAAACAGAAGGATGATAGACAAGTTAGCAACTAACCGGGAATGTTGTTGATATGAAAGGAAGGTGTGGAACTCGTCTTGTTTTGTAGCAGCGTGCGAGATTCAGCGAGGAACAGCTGCAACAGATAGGTCTCGCCTTCTGCCTCAGCCATACGGCGCTCGTCCATGCATTGCACGTGGAAAAACACCTGCCATGGTGGAACACCTGCACCCACCTGGTTCGACACAATGCACCGTGTCAAAGGCGGTGGAACCCCTGCAATAATAAGCAACAATGCTAGCGTGCGATCATTCAAAAAGCATCTTTAGTTACGCTAATTATCTTCGCTTTAAGTCAGTTTTCACCTCAATATCGCCTATTCAACAGTAATTCAATTTTTATAACAAGTACTAAAATAGTCACCCTCTCGATCGGACATTTTTTACGGTTATCAATATCACCAAGATGTGGTATCTAGTTGTTTTGAACTCCAAAGAACCTTCGCTTGAGTTACTTTCGACTATTACGGAGTATTTTAGTGATGGCTGAGGCGATAGTAAGGTTGGTATTGCAAGTCGGCTTAGCGTAGGCCGATGGTTTGATTCTGGACACCCATGCAAAGGGTTTTCTGGAAGGCAACGCAGGTGGATGAGTCGCGAGAATTGAACGGTTATAGAGTCAAACGCACACATTATATGCCCCATCCCATTGAAATGTTCAAAATTATCTGAGTTGTAAAGTTATGAAGCACTCCAAGACAAGGGTCGGCCAGAGAAAAAAACCCGACTTTTTTCAACTATCTTATCATCATCGTTATCAGGACTACGTTATTAAAAGTAAAAATGAGTAGGTCTTAAAATTGTTTCAGTTTGCTTTGACAGGATTACACGAGTCTCATGGGACCTTACAAGACAAGATAAGCGCCGGGAGTGCAACGTACTGCGTTAACTTGCCACTCATACGGTTGCTGCTTCTGCTGCACGTATTTCTGGAATAGCCTGCAAAGGAGCATTAAATATGGCGTGTACAATATTTGCTCCCTGACTTCTACCATACCTTTAGGCTCGATATTGAAGGAACAAGGCTCGCCAAGCATTCCCCCAATCGAATTGTTTGCCCAACAAGTGATCGTGCTTCGCTCCACGTAGCTCCTTGCACGGTACTGCAGAATGCTATGGCTACCTTTCGTGTGCAAGGTCCAGATACCAGTATACGTCGCCATCGTCACAGTCAACAGGCATACACAAACGGAAGAAACATACAGTAGCAAAAAAATAAGTTAAAATAAATAAATAAAAAATGCAGTTTTAAGATTATGCATATATACATATGATTATTTTAAATGCAGAGGATAAAGCTTTGAAATAATAACACATTCGGGATAATCTTCGTCTTATCGTCGAATCAAAATAATGGTTACTATATTGAGAGTATTGTTATATGTAAGCGAGATTCTGAAAGACAAACTGGCGGGTAGTTTTATTTAGCTAGTTATTGAGTTAGTTGACGCCTGTATGGACATCACCGTTAATAACAAAATCGTTGAGCGTTCGGGGCTGCTGCATTGTAGAGGTATTTCGAACCATCCATTGGAAATTGAGTTCAGCAGCAGGAAACGCGTCCACATCGCAGACCACTTCTATTGCGCGCTCCAATGAAGTATACACGAGCGCTGAAGGCTGACTGCTTACGCACCGCGGGGCGTCTATGTAACGCACACCAGACCCACACAACATCGACGATTATGATTAGACATAGATGTGATAGTGTTGAGTTAGTGATAGAAAACATAAATGGGGTTGGCTGAATCATCAAATCTGATCGTTAGGGACATACGAAGAGAGGCAATGCCAACCCTGTACATAATCGAGTCGCGCTTTGGCATAATGCCGATAATTGTATTTAGAAACCGGGCTAGTATAAACTATTTGATGTTATCTAGAAATGGGCCTGAGACCAAAAAAAAAAAAGCTTTATTGTGCCCACGAGCAGTTTTCACGAGCTTAAATATCATTCAATGCGAAGGGGGAAGCTGCGAACAAAATACGTTCCATGGGACCGGTAGGTCGATAGAAAAATTCAATTTTCGAACTTGATATTTCAATAATAATTATAAGTTTACACTTCAGCCCTGGCTATTTCTATATTTTGAATTCTAAAGCATTTGAGCTGTATTTGAAATATTTTAATATGATTGTTTTGACCCGCCAATACCAGTCACAAATTAATCCACTGACTGAGAAAGCCGGTGGGCAAAGATGATTTCCATCTTTCTAAAGCTGAATAAGTCCTGAAACGTTATGTAAACTAATTATTATTATGTAGAGCAAAATGTTCTTCGATACATACGTTGTTGATGGTAGGAAAATAGCTTCACTAAGTTCGATGAAATTCTTCATCCGAATAGCGAGGTTGTTGAATGATGATATGGTAATTATTATGGTACAGCGAGCGGCATTTCCGACCAACAACAATAAGTTGTGTACTCTGCAGTGTACCGCGTACACGTCACAGGGTGTAGAAGAAGTGCATTTTATAAAGGCAGAGCGAGAGAGAGAGAGAGACCCTGTGCGCCCATCTGGACAATCTGTTCTTTTTCAGTACACATTACTAGCTTTGCTGCGGCTTGGGGCGGTAACCTATTTAAATCGAAAAACCTGTATTTAAATATAAAAATGTTCAATAATACAGTTGGTCCGTTGTTAACGATTGACCCTGTACGCATTGTTTGATGTCATGACATTGATACTTACACTTTACGGCCAGGTTGATGACGTTGCTCGACGCTGGCCCGCGCTGGTTTATTGCGGTGCACGCATAAAGCCCCGACAAACGATGGCTGATATTTCGAAGGACAAGAAAGCTCTCGTCAGCGACAACGCCAGCCGATGCATTGCTCCGTAATTCCCGTCCGTCCACCGACCAGAACACTTCACTGGCAGGTGGATGTGATTGAACGGAACATTCGAAGTACACGTCGCTGCCCTCTACGATATGGCTTTCTGATAATCTGTTCCCAAGTGACAGCCTCACCACAGGGAGATCTTCACAGGCCACAAAAAAGATAATAGTAATTGGCAAGATTTCAGGGCTGGATACGTCAAACTTAGACAATGCAGTGTCTGTGAACCGCTAACCAGACTGATGCTCGTAGGCTATTCGATCGAATTCGACGCTCTAAGGGCTCTTCAAACAGTGTGTGAGCGAAGTTTAACTTCGGCGTCCGGCAGTCAAGACAAGCACTACCTTTGTATGTAGTAATCTGACATGTATTTAAAGTAAAAAGCTTATAGGGTATGGTAACTGGCCAGTCGATCTATAGCCTTGCAGGGAATTCAGTGTGCTTCGTTTGATGTACTCACGTATTCGGTATTTTCAAATTGACCTAATCTGTATTAGTTAGCCAGCTATCGTCCCGCAAATCCAACGTAAATAACAACATTTGTTTTCTAAAGAGCCTTGAAAATATTCACCATAGCTACGCCATAAAGTATTACGGCATCTCTGTCTGCTCTTTGAGATTTATCTCGGACGTGTGCATGCGTGATACTTCCTGATGTACTACTTCCTACCTTCCATACTACTGATGATGTTTATAGTTCCGTTAGTAATAAAAGACAGTGTTTTAAGTTTGTGGCGCACTATATGTACTCAGCTCCCATGAATTTAAACTTTTAAAATTTAGATGTTGAAGTTATGACTCGTTGGCTGTTTTCAAAATGCATTAAATTGGAGGCACAATAGAGAGGATGCCCTAGTCTGTCAAACTAAACCGTACGAATACGGAAAACTCTGTGACAAATTTACTAGACCGAACTGCAATTCACTCAGACTTAGTCCGTTGTCCTTTATTATGTTATTGTTAAAAAAACGATGGTACAAAGCGATTCGGTCCTATAAAAATCGCTACACTCTAATATGTAGCACATTGACAATGTTTAAGTATAAAGGAACAGTACTCACGATGAATGGAAAGCTCGAGGACATGCGACCATGTCCTATTTTCTATGAGTGGGTTTTCGGCAATACAGGTAAGATTCTTAAAATTGTCTTCTGCTCTGAGTGGAAGAACTAACACTGAACTTGTCGAATTTCCGTCACCCCCTCCGCTATCGCTGCCCTCTACAAAAGCGAACGAATCTAGCCGTGAAGCGTTCCAGCCCGACAGCTCCCAGTGGAGTGAAGGCGCTGGTCGGGAACCTGTCACGCGACAGCGAAATTCAGCGGAAGTGTCCGCATTCAATGGATCCAGCGCGGTCTCAATTGTCACCATGAGAGGCGAAACTGTCAGATAACAGGAGAAAACATATACAAACGACAGGGACAACAAAAAAAAAAAAAAAAAAAAGAAGAAGAACGTACACATGTAAGAATATGGTCGATGAACACTTTCTGATCGAAGAACTGCACGAGACAACTTACTCTCTACCCAATTACTATTTGATTCAGTTTGCTTAAATGCTTTCTCCTGTAATGGATCATAATATTAAAATGGGTTCCGCAAAAGGAGAACGATAACCATGAGGTTCATCTGGTAATAGGCTTATGCTCAACGAAACTGTGAAGTAATAGTACGTTATAGTAACAGATACGTAGCATGAAAAATTTAACAAGTATCGATATTAAGATACAAATTTAAAGACGTCCATGTGGCGAGCCTAATGCTGAATAGGAAACTTAGTTAAATGTGTCTTTCAGAGTTTGAACACTTTTTAAACAAATCACATTAACTTCCCTCCACATAGTGAAATTATGTTTCCTCAATTTGCTTAGATAGGTTTATTCGGCTGCCATGTAAAACTTTTGACCAATGTGTTTTACATATTTCTGCAGGTACATATGTGTTCGCGCGTTCACTGTTCTTTGGTATAGCCGTTCCGGAAGCACTGCTGTTGCTGCTTGAGGGAAGCTATCGCCGCCGCTGTATTTACTGTTGTCGCTTGCAAGTTTCGTTTGCGTACCCCGCTTGCCTCATCGTCTGTCTTTCTTCTCAAGGTGAAACAAAGTCCGAAACGTTTGGGGGTGAGGCGAGAAAACGACAAGCGATGACCCCCCCAAGTGGCTTTACTATCTCGCCGCACAAGTCACCGCAACGACAACAGTTCTTAACATGGAAAAAAGTGCACAATCATATTTAGCTTTTCCTTGCTGAAGTAGGGTAAACGCACATAAACATGTATTTTATACAGGAAGGGCTTGGTGCACTAACTTAAAGGGTTTACGTAGGCGTGAATAGTCGTCGTGTTCGTCGACTATACGGTAAAGTCACGTATGCTGCATGTAAAATAGGCTGCATGGGGTGGATGACGCGGTTGACAAGCTGAGAGAATAAATAACCAGCTTTGTATAGGAAAATTCGTTAGTACGTATATAGTTAAATAACCAGTTATATGCTTCAAACTATCTACCATTAAAGCGAATTTTTGCGTATGTGTAGTGAAGAACGTTTCTAGTAAATAACAAGAAGGTTGTCGATTGCGGTAGCAAGCGGCGTCCAGCACCGGCCGACGAAGATAAAAATCACAGTAACTACCATAATCACAACAGCGTCAATAAAAAAAATAACGGCGACCGAAAGCGAGCGAGGGAAGCTTGACAAAGAACAAACCCGTCAAAGGCAACGCTGATACGGATAGCGGCCTCAGGACAGCTGACAGTGTTGCTAATGCAGGGGCTAGCTAGCAACCCAAAGCTCTTCAACGCCTATTAGCATCCCGCGCCTTCTGCTGGTTCCTAAACATGTTCGTTCTTCGCTTCGTCCCGAAGGAGTCGCGATTACAAAAATCTTATTAGAGCTGGTATATGCACTAGGGACCATAATAACGTAACTAAACGCGCTAATGACAGCGACGAACATTTACGCCGCCTGCAACAGTTACGGTTGGATCCGTTAGGACCTGCTTTGAATATTACTATATCATAGAAAGGAGTATAATATGCAGGTCACAGACATCGCATTATGTACGCAAATAAGTATTGCATTTATATAGCAATTGAAAGTATCAGATAATATGTCTGACATTCTCGATCGGGCTGGCAAGTTTAATTTCACCATGGAAAATGGTGTACCTAATCATTCCGGTAGTCACCATACGACAGGCGAATCTGATAACGTCATATCCTCGAGAAACCATAGGTTATTATTTATATTAGAATTTTCTAAAATATCAAACGGTTAAGAGCCATCTCCTTCAGTGCTAGTGCAGGAGTGGCATCGGAGCTAGGCAGAAAGTTTGGAGTTGAAATATGGATGGGAAAAAGTCGAAACTGTATTTCCAGGCTGTAAATCTACTTTGTCTTTTTACCTACCTTGGGCGTATCCTGGAAAAGAGGACTTCGTCTCTAGTCAAAGGAGCGTCTCCTTTACACCATGATATGTTAGATAGAGTTGCATAGGATGATGTCGTTTTCAGCAACAGGACATAACGCTGATTTTTTCAATATAATAAGTGCTATGCCTCACGAATGGGGTTAGAACATACGTTTACTTCAATGGCCAACCCTTGGCCAAATGGTTGAAGACGACATACCTTTGCGGACGTTTATAACTTTTCATGAAAATAAGTGGACATTAAAAGTAAGTGAAATCTAACAAGAAGGAGCTGTGATCCGAGATCTTATAAGCTAGAGAGTAAATCGAGTTTCTTAGTACGAACTCCAGGTCACACCTAAACAAATCTGATACGCTAGCCAGCTGGTCCTAATGTTTGCAAATGCAGAAACGAAACCTTGATAGTTCATAAAGAATACCGTGTACTTGAATTTGGGCGCTTCAGTCATTCATCGTTTATATTAGAGTAGCACAGAATTTACGCTATTAAGACATCAATAATAATAATACCTACGCGTAAGATCAAGCACTACAGAAACCGAGCGTTTTTGTTGCTTAAGCATATTGGGCGTCTGCATAAGCACGTTGTCCGCTTCACAGGTAAATGTATGGAGAAGATCTCGTCGACAAACAGGACCATAGTGAAGTATACTCAAGGCGCCCTCATCATTATCGCCGGGAAATGAGCTGTTTGTCGAATACTTGTCAGATGAGATTAGCTGCCCGTTCTTCTTCCATAGTACCGTTGGTGGCGGACTTCCTGCAGAAGTAATAACGTTTTTTAATCAAAATATAATACGTCTATTTGTACCTTCTGCAGTCATGATGCTCTATTTGTACAGTGTTTATGTGTAGGGAGGCAGGAAGGGATACGATTCCAGTTCCGGCATTTCTAATCAACGCCCCACACTAAGGAGCTACAATGCGCGACGACTCGCATAACCCTAAGGTGCTAATGGCTAACGAACCTTTTTCGACAGTGCAGACAAGAGTAAGGTTAGCCCCTTCTCGCAACGGCCCGACTTTGTCACGGATTACAGCTCCCTCCACTGTGCGGATCATTGGCACCGAAGGCGGCACTGGAAACAGGTACGAAAGTAATGAATCTAAATTATGAACGGCATATCAAAATTGTAGCTTGGCTCACATACGCCTTTACGCCTAGAAGGGCACTTTACAGCTACAGAAACAAACCTTTAAGGCCAGCGTCGAATAGCATAAGGATTTTAGTTAAAACGCCAAATGAAGGACTCATAACTAAGGTAGTGCTAGCTGCAGACTCGCGATTCTCAAGAGAGATTATTTGATTTGATCGCCTGATAGCCTAGGCTAACCTTATCCGTTCTGTAAGAAAAAATCTCTCTCTGTTTTTTAGGTCTCTTCTGTTTTTAATACAACCTTGTCTAAACCTTTTCAAGGTTTTCCTTCGGCTTTTTTATTGATCAGATGAGAATGCCGTACCACCACATGACCATTTACTAATACCGTTAAATAGCTCAAAGGGTAAACTATTTCAAATAGTACATTAATCCGCTAGTAGTTTAGGCTGTTCAAGCTACGTTTAGAGGGCAAGGCAGACTGCTCGACAGAAGCGAGAACACGCGGTGTATCGGTACCAAAGTGAGTTATGGCAAACAAACAAGCACGTTTCAAATATCGTACAAAAAAATCTTCGAAATGTAAATGGGATATTTACATCCAACAATAATCCGCGACGTCGTGTTCTTGTGATCGCCTCGATGGAATTCCACAAAGCAAACGTACGTTCCCGAGTCAGCTGGCGCGAGCTTCGAGAGTTCGAGACGTGCGGGATCCGACAGGACCGAGAAGACCGCTCGGCCGGCCCACGCTACGCTAATGTCATGATGCCCGTTCCAGATTCCTGAGATTAGATAAATAGAAATTTAATAATAAACTTTAATTAGCGTGATATTGACATAAAACAGGATTCTATTGTCATTGAAGGCTCGGCCATGCTAAGATATTGGTCAAGCACATATGACGCTGTTTGGAATTCGCTGGTTGGTCATCTAATGTTCTGTTTTGAGCGCTATTGTCTATGTGAGTAGTTTAACCATAAAAACCTTTAATTTGCAATGGACGCGCAAAGGAACGTGGCCCGTTGTCACAGTAGTGGCCATGCTAGGGAATACAGTGCTGTACCCTAATCACAATTGCTGCATTTCTTCGATCCGGAACCTGCCATAAAAGCCTGCTAGATGGCAAAGGACGGTCTGCATGTTTATGGTGCGATATTAGAGATGCATTGTCAATGCTGCTAGATAAGTACGGGTATAGCCTGTCACGAAACTGATTAATGTATATATATCAATGAATCTCTGGTTAGGATATGCGACCCAACAACCGAGTGCGATATTCAAAAATAAATCTTTACTGTGAAATTCTGGCGACCACTTCGTTCAAAACAAGCATCACAAAACGCGCGGTGGTGTTCCATCAAATGCTTTCGTTTACTTCAAGTCAGGCATTTCTAGTTACACTAACGTAATTTAAACATACTTTAATGGCTCTGTAATGTATATAGAAAAATAGTTATTACCGTTCCGCTGACATATTCAACTGAGTGACGGCCTGTCTTGCTATAAATGTCGAAAACTTCATAGCAACTTAAATACGAGCCCGCATCCTCTGTACAGCTGGGATTTAGCTCACAGGGCCAGTAGGGTTAGCTAAGACTTACTAGCATAAGTATCCGGCCTGTCCTAACTTTTATTTACCTGCCGTCGCACTGCCCGCATAGAGCCTTTGGTATGCGTGCAGTAATACAAAAATTGTCACATCAGTGAATTCTTATGATAAACCCATTTCTGAAAGCAGTAAGTTGCAATGTAATAAATAAATACTGCTAAACAAAGTGTATCTAGTACGAGTAAACAACACTGACCACGATGCTCGTAAAAGGATACTAGGTCACAGTTGTTATTATTACATAGTGCTCATTGCTGAATTAAATAGCATATTCGGTGCATGTTAAAAAAAGGCAATGGCAATAGAAAGTTTAGTTGTACATATCTAGAATAGGATGTGCTCGTACATATTTCCTTATTCCACCATAAACCAGAGATCAGGCTCCTAAATGCTGCTTTGTCTAGATACTAAGTGAAAGCCATGTTCATTTCGGGAAAAAGTGAAGGTTTCCGCTTTTGCAGCTATCCTATGGTTAACCTAACTATAAATTTATCGATTGCTTTCAGTATGTGACTCTCAAACGTGTCGCGGACAATGTACCCATGGCTTCTTAATATGGTACTGTTATTTGTACTTCTATTAATATTACATTCGGGTAGCTAATCGCATGAAGAAAGAATAAGCATACCTGTTTGTAGGGTTCACAAAAAATGAAACTAGAAAATCGATAGGTTAACGAACTTCTCATCGAACACAAGCTGACCCAACCCAACGCAGATTTCACGGTATTGCTCATAAACTTATAATTGTCCCGCATTCATTCAATCATTTCAGGATCGAAAATAAACAGAGGATGACCCTTCTAAATTAGGACGTAGCTCCAAGATTCGTATTTAGATAAAAACAGATATGTCCCATTTGGTAGAAGCGTCATTCGGGATCATCAGTTTTATTCATTGTAGGCTATATTGCTTGTGAGGTCAACTTCAATTTAGGGCCTATATCGCTTACAGGCTTGTTTCGAATGTTCCCTTGCAGATGAGGTTAGTTGGATCCTTACCCGATCGCACTCTGTACTTCAAATCCGGCTACTCGGCAATTATGTGTGCTCATCTTAGAACATACGCTAGCAGTAAACACTGCACTACCTGGTTGTCAAGAGTCAAGGCTTTACCTTAGACACTTTAACTATCCATGGCTTTTAGGACACGTAGATAGCTTCTTTGGTCGCTTTTCTGACAGAAATATCATGCTACAACGTCTCATTTGCTCTGCACAATGCAAAGCATAGACACTGTCTGGAAAATTGCTTTTAGCCATGATGGGCGCATCCTTGGAATTATGAATAGACCAGCGATTGCCTCTGAGGTTGGTTTTTACATGAAGTATAAAGAAGCTTTTTACGTCAAAGAAGAATCGTGTTGTTCCACCTTGAAGATAAGTGAGGAGCAAGCTACACCGAACAGATCTCTTGGCTTTGTTGGCGTATATTTGACTTCTATTTCCGCCTGAGATCTTCGTGAATAACCCCTCATATAGTAATCATGTTCATATTACTTTTTCCGCTAACGACCTAGTCGAAACTAAATAATCGTCAGAAACAAACTTTTGGACTGCATCGATTAGCTTCACGTTTGCACCTTTTTACCTGTCGTGAGTTTTCCATAGTGTTGTGCTGGAACCTACCTATGCTTCTTCTGCAATCGCAAACACGTTTTAGATACTGTTGAACCCCCTGAAGAGCTTATTACTTCAGTAAGGGGTCGGCGCCCCTGAAGAATTGGTTGTTCTACTGCCAAGAATAACAGATTACCGCATGTCCACTACGGCAGCATTTGCCCGAAATTAACTGAACGATCATATATGTCTAACTACGTCACCGCCAGCAAAAAGCCTTTACGCTACTTATGAACTGTGTCTATGGGTTCGCATTTAATCAGTGTGATGACGCCATTAATCTATAATGACTAAGGACAATCATAGTTTGCTTATATCATTTGCACATATATAGCTGTAATGACAGCCTATGAAAAAAAAATGAAGAAAACTATGGACCGCCTATAGTTTTTCTTTTTCAATCGATCTCTTAATCGGCGCGCTACGATAACGGAAATCTGGGTCGTGCCTCCTAAAAATTGCACAATTAGCGTTTCTATGCACCTTGGGTTCAGATTTCAAAGGCCCAAAAAGCTATCTTTGATACACCTAGGTACTTCATGCAGAAATTAGTGATCGTTCTAAAAAAAAAAAAAAGAGAAAATCAATGTATTTCTGAGACTTTTTGTATTTCTATATTGAACTTTTTACTGTTATAAGCTTTTGTATTTTTGAAACGTCTAGCTTGGTATCAGTTCAAAATTAAGGTTTGCTAGATTTTTTATAGGCTTGCACTTCAGCGACTCCTTAGCGAGCTTACGCCTACAAATATCGCTTGACGGTCAAATACTATTAAAGATTATTTGGTGGTTAAAGAAAGAATATTATAAAAATGACCGCTTAGTAACTTAGGTTTCGAATTAAGGCCGTAATTGTAGTACAGTATGGCTATATTTAATGAACATGAGTGGCGCTTCTAGTACATACCGGAAAAAAGTATTTATTTTAGCTAGATAGATCTTTGGAAAGAAATGATAGAACAAATTCTCAACATAGACGCGCCGTTCGGTATAATTAGACGGTGGGTGGGCATTATCGAATACAACAGGTATTAAAAATCGCTAAAATTTGTTGGCTTTTAAGTTGGCAACCTGCGTACACTCTAGCGGATGCAGACGGTATACTGTCCATAAGAACCAGCGAAAAAGGCAATTTTGTCAGGAAATTGAGTCAAGGAATCGACTTTTTGCGCAAAAACAACTGTTTCAAGGCCGAATATTATTATTATAGCATTGTATATGCGATCTGTTCGTATTGTTCTTCACAAAGGTTCGGATCGAGTGCGTCTGTATTCATTTCTCCGGGTGTTGAAAACGCATGCAGAAGCAGCCCACGTAAAAGAGCTCATTGGAGGGGGGAGAGAGGGATATAAAGCCAAACCCTCGGTGATTGCAATCGTAGAGCCTGTTGTATAGTGCTGCCTCGCGTATACTGAGTGAATATTTCAATTTCTGAATCTGTAAAACTTAGATAACTTAGAATCTGAAACCTATGAAAGCGTAGTATGTTTGTTGTATAAGCCGAAGAATATTTAGAGGACGAAATCATTCTTTTAGATGAATCGCAAATTTTTTTATGCGGCCAGCCAATAAACAAAGTTACAGTATATGGGCATACTAGGTCTTCGACCTCAGTTTTGAGGAACTACTTCATGGAGCTAAAATAATCGTACGGTGAATCGGCCGGAGCTTCTCTGGGTGTTTTTTTTTCAATCCTCAATTATTAATTATAGAGATATGTGCAGGGACTTTCTGTTGCCGAGGTTGGATAAGTTCAACTTGAACAATACGTTATTGCAACGGGATGATGCCATCTGCCACTGGGCAGACGATATGCTGATGTCCTTCAGGGAAGAGCGCGGAATTAACTAATCAGCTTCCTTCCATGGGGTGGTTTGCAAAGAGAGTCTATAACACTTTTCTCTCCTATAATTAATAAGCTGAAAGGGTGTATCTAGCAAAAAAAAAAGGCCTTAACAATTCCGTCCGAGGTGTGAAACACTTGCGCATTTAAAACCTGTGAGGCAGCCCCCAGGCTGGCGTCTGACCTACACAATATTTAAAATATAATGGCAGCCTTTGCCTTTTGTAAAATCATCGTGTTTGTGCATATCTTGTAAGCTGGTGTCATCTATCGTAGTTTGAATACCGATACATCGGAAATAGATGATCCTGTATTTTGGAGTGTGTAAAGTAATTTCATTTTAGCGAACAATCATACAAATTTTTTTTCGAGAAACTCTTTCGAAGGTGAAAGGAAGAAAAGCTTGTTGTCCATGGTCGATGTGGGCTAATCATATTATATGCCGTACTTGAGAGAAATTCTTAATAATAATAATAAAAGGAAATCGTATTAGAAGTCAAGACAATATACCTGAAACATGTTATTTGCCTATTTTACGTCCATTAAACACATCAGTGGCTCTATAGCTACGCCTTTGGCGGTACGGTCAATCATACCTCGTTTAAGGACATCCTCAGCGATATAATTAGGGGCTTCCTGCCCATCCTTAAACCAACTAATCCTTAGCGGGCTATCGTCCTGGACCGCCTCGATATCGCACGGAAGCAATACTCGCTGGCCCACCTCAAGAATTCGTACTGAAAATAGAAAATACGATTAGAAAGCTTTTGCATACATGCATGCGTTCTAATGAATTTATCGAGCATTATTATAAATGATAGTACGCCATTTATTTCATCTATCTACTCAATTTAGCCTACATAAGAAAGTTCTATATCTAGATAGAAGCAATCGTAGCATCAAGCTAGCGTTTAACGAAAAACAAACAAAGCATTAAGTGTCCTACATCCTAGAAAATTGAAGTATGAGGGATGTTTTTTGTCGAGAGCTGTGTCAAGCTTTTCTAGATGTTGTTTATCATTAAATTCTTGAATCGTTATATCTAATAAAGATGAATCTTTACGGTTCATCCCCACTGTGTGCTTTCGATTAGCTAACCACTAGGTTGAGCCATTGGGCGTGGTCGGAACCTCATTTGCACTTCGTCGCACCCATAAAAAACGGCATTGCTTGCTCCACTGTTTGATACAACTCCAGATACAATCCAATCCCTGCATGGAGTTAGGCCTCGGATGGTGCGGCGAGCGACCAATTGTAATGCATAGATGCACCTCAGTTATGTCAATCCCTTTGGAGAGGGCGGGTTTCGACAGACCCATGCTAAGGGAGCACGGAGAGAAACAGAGGAATGAGGGCGCGGAGTGAAACCACGTCTTCACTAAATTGAAGAGCGTGGACAGTTAAACGACTGCTCGTAACGAACTCAGAGCGACAGTTTTAGACCACTGCGCTCTGCTGCCTGCTCTTCTTATTGATTTTCTCAAAGGAGTGTAAATATCAGGTCGAGGTTTGCCTAGGAGTTCACTTATTTATATCGTTCCTAAACACAATGAACCTGTATCAGATGCATAATACGGCACTACCCTTCCAAGAGGGAAAAGCAGTTTTATATAGGTGGGGCTTTAGTATGTGATATAGATGAATGGCCCCCAATTGTGGCTTTGTTGAAGCTTATGTGCTCTGAAGGATAGTGAAGTCAAGGGGAAGACGAATTGAAGGATTTAGTCATTCAACGAAAACAAACTTTCACATTGCTGCCCTATCGTAACATTTTTTTTAACACAAATAATGACTTTCATGCAAATCTCGGATGTGTAGATCCAAAATTTTGCGTGCCTCATCGAAAACAGACTGACATCAAGTGTTAAAATGGCTGTCATTTGTAGACATTCTTCTATAGCAAAAGCTGATGAAATCGTGCTAACAGTGCATCTAGCCCCATGCCCATGTTGAACTTATAGGGCATATTGTGAACTTTCTATACTTAACGTACGTGGTACATTATCCGCAGCATCTAAATAGAAAAAAAATGTTAAAAACGATGTTAAGAACGGACACAGCCGTTAGTCATGAAGTGCTAGAAATTTCTCGAGAAAATCAACTGCTAAACTTCATGTTGCAAATTGCTTCACAGTAACACTATAATGTATAACTTACATTACGGATGTGCAGGCTACAGAGGAAAAAACCTTGCTTGACTACACTGGTAAATACGGGATTTCCAATGAGTGGTTTCCAATGAATCGCTCATTAAAGTTTGAGTTCAAAAGGATGCAGAAGCAAGTGGAAAAACGTTTGAAAAAAATTTCACCGCTCTAGGTAAAAGTGTTAATAGCAACGAGCTGATATTCCCGTTCCTGATCTAGTATCAAATAGAATTTAGAGTTCTTAGCAATGCCATTACCAGCTCTTTACTGCTCACTTTTATAAATTAAATCTATAAATTGTTCTTTGCAGGGATAAACAGCAAATTACTAGTTTATTAAGTAGCAATCCGTATTTTATGTATGCGCATATTATTTAACATGCTATACAATACTTACGCCAGGCTAATACTAAAAAGAAATGTATTCCGCCCACGGCAACCAAAAGATAAAAATTCTAGCTATTAAGTACTTAATAGTATCAATTTTACATGTTAACGTTAACGTCATTTGTTAGTATCGGGACCGTTTCATGTTGATAGATGTAAATAGATGAATGTTGAAAGCTGTCTAAAATTAGCTATTCTTTAACAAAGCCAAGAAGAACATAACTAAATGAATACCTTGTCCTGGCTAGAACAGTGTCTTTTACGACTTATTTCAGTGGTGCTATTTGGTGGCCTAAAGAAACGAGAAATGTAGGTCGACTCGTACTTAAACGATGCCCTTATCATTTTGGTTATATGCATGAACAAATAAATTAGCCATATTGTTCTAGTCTCTGAGATTCGTTTCCGTATCTCTGGAGCACTCTTCCTATGCCGAAGTTTTACCTCTCTTCAAGAAAATGAGAAATATACAAACGTTCCTTTTTGTGGCGCGAACTGTAGTCGTGTGATTAACTAATACCCGTACTTATTGACTAAAAAATCATAGTTCTACAAGGGCTCCTTTTGGTCGGACAGGAATAGTTGATCTTCAAAGTAGCGAGAGAATATTGCCTAAAATACCTCAGCTGCTCTCAAGAAGAGCTGATTAATTAATGTCAACCTAGGCTAAAACTAACTACCCAGCAGCGTTTCGACATTTACGTAAATTCGTTAGCTTTTCGAAGACAGCCTAATGCAGGAGAGGCCACGACGCCAATAGGAACATACTTTGAAAAGCGAAAAAGAAAATCGGCCTGCATTTCGTGGATCTTATCAACCAATACTTATTTACGTCGTGATGAATTAAGCCACCATGTCTATAAAAAAACAATCCCACCGGTGAAATAATGTACAGCGAATTTGTTGGTTCTACAGTAACAATATACCCTGCTTCTGTGAGCGCACAGATTAAAAGTTAAAGTAAAAGTTTGGGGACTCGATACTCACAAGCATTCGTGGCAGCATTAGGAAACACTTCATGGAGGCTCAGTCAAGCGTATCAGAAGCATGTCTAAGCTAACGACTATTGAAGCAGCGATCTCCTTAACGATTTCCTTTATACGTCTGCTTGGGCGGGAATGCTGCATGCGTTCTCTAAGTTTGTAAGTAAGCTTCATTATGGGAGACAAGTCAAAACAAAAAAGTAATCTTAGGAAAAGTTGCCGGTTCAAACTTACTCAATAGCAAAGCGAATTCAAAGTGGCTCCTGTCAGAAATACAATACTATAAAAAATAATCTTCTACAAAGATATTGTCACAGCAGAGAGTAGCCTGCGTTTTACGCGTATTGTTCGGTAAGAAGGTCGAATGAATAACTGAATTGATAAATGAACTTCAATGATCTGTATAAGGCGTTCCAATCTTCATGGTATTTTATGGGTCTTGGCACCTGTGGGTTAGGTACTGACCAGCGCCTAAGATGACTAGGTACACGTTTGTCTACCACGCTCTGATGATAATTACCCATTGATGCTGGCTGTGTTGCGACGCATGTATAAATAGTAATGATATCCATTTATAACAATTAATTTAAATAATATAGTATGAAATGCTTTGATAAATTGTGTCATTTTCATGGTCGAATGAACCATTGACGAGCAGCGTATGAAAAATCCTCTGCAAAGACTCGCATTAACTATATGATACAATGATCCTATTCAGTTGGGTGGCCTGTGTTTCGCCATTCGAGAAAAGCCTGTGCTTAAGAAATTCAGACTACTTTCAGTCCAGATATCGGCTACTAGATGTAGTAGTAGTAGTAGTAGTAGTAGAAAAGTGCATTTCTTGAGCCGTTCGGTACTTCGTGTTATGGATAAAGATTTTCAACAAAGGGTTTACGAAAGGACTGGTCAATTTACGAACCTGAAGCTCGTTTTTATCACATCCGGATATCAACAAAAATTTCTACGCATGATCACTGTAATACCACTCGGTCTGACGATTATCTTTAGAGCTGTTTATGCCACCTGAAGCTTTATTAGATGTTTGTAAAGCCTACACACAAATTTAATAAGGATTTCGCTTGCCAGTTTACGGAATAGTCAGCAGCCAACTTATCATTACATCGATCAGACAACCTCAACAGAACGATCGTGCGCTCATACGAATGTTCCACGTTTGTAAATACATACGTACGCATCGTGTAGTTACTGGTCACATCGTATGTTTAAATGAGCGGGTACCACAAACCAACTTCCTTCCCAGTAATTTACTCAGCGCTGATGGGCAAACGACACGAAAGGAAACACGAACCAAAATGTCTACTTTCAAAAATTACGGGTTTCCCGTATGGGTAACCGTCACCAAGGTAAAATGAGACACAAATGAACGTCATATAATTCTTTCACAGTTGCAGTAAGTAGTACGAGGTGAAGAATCTGGATACATATGGGAAGAGAAAAAGGACGGCGGTCTAAATTAACTGATTAAGATGTAATGATTGTATCGAAATGAAAACAAATGGTTCATTAAGATGTTTTCAATGTGCCTTAAGTGTCAGTATAAAGTGTCGACCGATGTTACAATTTTAGGCCGGTGCTTGAGTCATCCACTGGTTATTTTCAAATATGACTCTACAGCATCGAGCGATTTTGGTAGGTGTCAACTCATCGAGAGGTTACTCAAATAGGTTGCGTACAGCAAACCCCAACGGTTGGGCCGACAGTAGGCTACAGATCATAAAAATCAAAAGCTCAAAATGTTTAACTGGTAACACTAATCGTTGGATAATTAGATCTTAAGTTAATATTCAGTTCCAATTCTTGTATTAAAAACCAAGGTATGTTAAAAACTGGCTTTTAAGATGTTTTAGTTAATTTCCAAAACGACTTTGTATTGAAACTTTTCCGTTTTGCCTCATCAAGGTGTGTTTCAGGTTCTTCAAAAGCTTGTGAAAGTTGGCAATATTCCGGACGAAAAAATAAGTTCTGTTTGCTGTTTTGTCCTAAAGAACTCACTTTTATCTGGTACGAGGAATAGCAAATAGACATGTCCGTTACGACAGACAGCCCGCCATGATACTTCCCAAGTTGAACGCTCCACATAAATATATATATATATATATATATAGAGTCAACATTTAATTTATTTCGCGTGTTATTTGTGTATATATTACTTTTAGCTATTATATTTCTGCTCTCTGCCTCCTACATAAAATCTCCGTTA